CAGGAAGTCTGGAGGCTGCACAGATCCATAACTCAGGATCTGTCCAGCCATTAGTTTTACAATCTACAAAGCAAGACGTCACATTTACAGTAAGGAGGGCGACATGGACTTAGAATTTTATTTTGCAGTACTGTTGTGATAACAATGAAAATTATAATAAAAAAAGATCTTTTTTATTTATTGCTGTGTCCCAAACTGCTGTGGTTATTAAGGTGGTGTGCTGGTCCGGCACATAAAATTTGGATAAAATAGACTGAGGATGTAGCTGTAATGTGAGAATATGTGAAAATGTTTATGAATACTTTTGCAAAACAGTGTGGACACATACTTGGGTAGAGGCAGCTTTTCATGTGTTTCCATATCCTGTACTGGATGGGACCCACAAACCAGCCTGAGGGGACCTCTGTGTCCACCTCTGCAGGACGAATGAAGTGGACCTGAGACCTAAACAATCAAAGTGAGAGGAAAAAAGTAAACATGGAGCTCACAGCAAAGAGAATACCAGACCATAAACAGATTATCAACACACAGAAGGACCAAAATTATACGTTTATGGAAAGAACGCCGTAAAATAAACCTACCTTTTTACAAGATCTTGCATTTCCTGCAGTGAGACAAAGTTTAGAACATGATCATAGTCAACTCGACTCATAAGCAATGTTTCATCATTTTATGTCCTTTACGTTTTAAATGAGAAATTGATTTGCACTTGTAAACTAGAGAAGTCAACTAATTAGCTGATCAGCGTCAATAACTGATCGGGAGCCAAGAAGATTCAGCAGAACGAAATGAATGCAGCTCTGCAGGTTTACTCCGATGCAAACCTGCAGCACGATCTCTTCCTGCAGCTCTGAGTCTGAAGGCGTAATCACAACAAATCACAAGTATGATGTGTTCATGCATTTTCTTCCTGCATGCTGGAACATCAGAGCTTATTGCTGTAGCTCCAGCACGACATCAATTATAAACCAAACCAGTAATTTTCTGTCCTCCATATTTTCCTCACTTTGAACAGTTTAGGACTGTCCTCCTCGGCCAACTTGCTGTTCAGCACCGTTATTGCTCTCTCCAGGTCCCGTCCTTGTGCGTCTATCTTCTTCTCTCTCTCCTTCAGCTGCTTCAGAAGTTTCTGTCTCTCCCTCTTCAGTCTTTCCAGGTCCTGGTACTCCTCCTCCTCCAGGAAGCGATGGAGGTTCTGAAACTCGGCTCTGACTTCTCGTTCTAGTTCATCAAACCTGTTCTGAAAAAAGAGAGGGGTTTGTTACGTATTTAATATGTGGATTAAATGAAATGATGTGGTTATGTTGAATGAGTTTTTTGATTAAAGGAGTTGTGAGTAATTTATTTCGCAGTGAGGTGTAGATGGATGGTTATCTTGATCATATTTTTCAGAGAGCCCGTCCTTTTAACACATATTGTGAGACTACGACTTCATGCCTTGTAAAAATGTTTGTGCCTGTTGAGTTTTTAACATGTTGTGACGTTACAACCAACAGCTTCAATGTGTTTTGGGGAGATCTTCTGTGATACGTCAAAGAACGTATCATTTTGAAATGGAAGAAAAATATTTAGTGGTCTGGACATTTTCTACAAGTTAAACTGTGACATGTTGGTTTCGTAGTCAGTCCATCGTAGTTGATTGTTTGAAGAAGAATGCAACTGTAGCAGCAAATCTTACAGTATGATACCCTATGGGTATGGAGCTTTTAGTAGTAGTAGCTCTATAACAGGGGTGTCAAACTCATTTTTGTTTGGGGCCAAATCAAGATCATGAATGCTCTTAAAGGGCCGGTTGTGTCAGAATGTATTGATAAAACCTGTTCACCAAAAATCAATGAATTGTTCAAATTGAATAATATTATTGACCATCTTTTCAGTCACTCCAGGATTTCATGATACTTTTTGTGATTTCTTGTAATAAAAATCAAAGTGTTTGTGACACTAATTTGGAAATATTTGTGATATTTGTGTTTAATTATGACGGCAGATGCGACTTTTTATTACGTGTAGTTCATGGAATATAATCTGACATTGATTAAGGGCGAGGCAGATGTTTAGTATAAGTAAGAAAGTTTTGTAAATTTTTTAGAAAAATGTGCAATAAATTCCCAATTATTAGCACAAAAAAAGTGAGAGGATATGTTGATTTTGCTTAAATTTCCACAATAATTCTCAAGAGACTGGAGNGACTNATTGATATAATTTGGCAGTAAGTTAATAAAAACTGCATTGATTTTATTGAAAACATAATATTTAAGCACATTTAGTGTTTAGTCTATAATCTAGAGGGCCACATAAAAAGGTATGGGCCAGATTTGGCCCACAGGCCTCAAGTTTGACACATGTGATCTGTAATATGAAAATGACTCAATAAATGAAGCCAGAAGAACATAAACAAATATGGTTTCTTAACTACAGACCAAGACACTTCTTATTTTCTTAAATAGATCAAACTCTGTCATGTTGTGGCGTATCTGTGGAAACTTGGTTGAATTTTCTAACATCAGTGTTTTGTAGTAACTTTCAGCTTTTTTTTTTTTGCATCACCCTCTTCCACACGTTTGCAACCTCATCTTGTGGCAAAAATGCAAACACGATTTCTTATAATTTTCTTCTTTTGACTGATTGTCCCACCTGAATTGTGGATCTCTGTAGCTCCTCCAGAGATAACGGCCTTTTCATAAGGGAACTACTTTTGTAAGGATTATTTTTGTAAGGCATGTTTTTACCTCGATGTTTTCGTACTGCTTCAGTCATAATTATTCTGTGTGGAGCTGAACCTTTTGTGTCTGACAGGAGTGTATTTGTGTTGGAGTGAGGAATGCAGCAAAAATACCTCTACTTCCACCGAGTCTATATACGTGTCTCTCTCTGCTCCTCTGCATTCGTCTACCTCATGTTTGATTCTTTTAATAGACTGAACAAGCTTGGCCTGCAACACTCACACAGACACACACAGAAGAGGCAGGTTATTGGAGAAAAGGCAAAGGGAGCAGAAAAGTTTCCCAGGATTTGTTTGCTTAAAGGTTCACCTTTCAACAAACACGGACATGTTATGAAGCCAGTGAGAGCAACAAACCATGAAGCTTACCTTGTTCTCACAGAGAAGGCTTTTGCTGCAGTTGTTGTTTGTGTCTTTGGTGTGGTTCTGGTACATTCCAGTTTCCTGAGTAAGGAGCAAAGCTGAAGCAAAAGGACCTCAGAGAAGCTGAAATAAAAAAAAAAAAGTGATGGAAGGCGTTATGAGGGTGAGGCAACGTGAAGGACATTAGTACACATCAAGGAGACGGGGAGACATGGAGGGGAATAGACAGGAACACACATGCTGACACGATGAAAACAGCTGGCAAGACAAGGACGTACATCCAAGCAGAAAATTCACAAGACGAAACGCATTGACAGGCTCTGGTAATCAGGAGCAACAGCCTGACTTGAGAATATATGGATCCATTAGAAACAAGCAGGGGAGGGAGAGGAGGGGCAGAGGACTGGAGCTGCCAGGAGGGATTGTTGGCTGATAGGGAGAGGTTGGCAGCAGCGATTTATGGAAGCAGAAACAGATGAATCTATTTCTGTCTGCCTGTGTCTTTGGAAAACAACAAGAGAGGCAGCCAGCCAGTCAGAGATTGTGTTTCATATCAGTTGTTGTGCCTGGAAGGGAGAGGATCCATGTTTATTTTTGAAAGGTGGCTCTGTGATGTCTCTGGAAGGGGTGGCGAGATCCTGGGTTGAAGCTGTATGCACTGTTACCGCCCTGCTTTGAGAGGGAGGAACTCAAACTAAATGCTCAGGTTAATGCTATCTGTACTCTAACAGGGCGCTGTGGTCCACGTCTCTTTATCCCCCTCCCCCAACGAATCCCACACAAGCACAGAGGGTCTGGCTACAGGCTATGGGGTATATGCACTGAAGCAGCGTCTCTGCAAATGTTCTTCATCTATAATTCATGATTCTGGGCCTGGGCAAGTGACTGTAGAGAGCTAAGGTTCAGCTGCAAACTTGGTGCAGTACAACCTGCTGCAGGTGGAGAGGACACCTGCAGGGGGAGATGAGTAAGGAACGAAATCTTACTGCAAGATGGCATCGGAGTTTCATTGAGGCAGAGTGGAGCTGGCTCCAAATTACGACTCACTGAAAGATTTTTACACATCATAATATATTCAGTCATTGCATATGTATTGTTTATTTATTGAATTGGACTATATAATGCACTTTTTTTTAAAAATGCGAACCAAATGTAAAGTATTTTATTGTGAGATTTATGTGACAGAGTCACACAAAGTAGAGCATATTTTCAAAGAGAAAGGAAAAGATATACATTTTTAAGATGCTACTTAAAGATCAGAAAGTATATTGTGGATATTGTACATTGCTGCCCTTTTCTAAATTGCAATCAGAAAGTACAACAAACAGCAAAACCATCTTACATTAGGATACTAAAATTAAGGACTTTACATTGAAAATACATTTTTATATTGAAAATTGGAAAATGCTATAATTCATTTTAAAAATGGAAGCTCATGTTTTATATACATTAATTACACGTAGAGGGAAAACATTTTATGTGTTTATTTCTGTTAATTTTGATAATTATGGCTCCAAAATGTACTTTTGGAGAAAATAAGAATATTAAAACCATATGTAAGACAAGAATGTTAGATAATGTCCGGCAGCTGCAGCTGCCTCAGGGCAGCTACGGCTACAATCCAGTAACTTGCCGTCATCAGTGAATGTGTGTGTGAATGAAAATGACTGATTTCATTGTAACGTGTTTTTGAGGGTCTTGAAAAGTGTTATCAAGTCTGAAGTCATTTCAGCTCATTACTTTGCAGGATTGGCATTCAGTACTTGGTCTGGGCTCAGTTAGCATGAATTATTGCATCATAAAATCACATCTACAAAAGCTTGTAAATAGAGAAAAATGTGAAGAACTCTTTAATCTCCTAGTAGATGGTTGCACTGACCTTAGATTTGATCAAACACAGCAGACCTACAGTAGTAGATGGCATGACTCCCACAATCTAATTTAAATATGTGCCTCTTTAATCTGCCTCCTTTGATTTCCAAATGAAAATGACAAAACTTTATCTGGAAATGTAACGGTGGGGTAACTGTCCAGTTTTTCCCCCCTCAGTTCAGTTTCTGGTCCACGAGTGTCATGAAACAAGGAATGAAACTTGCCGCTCAGGTTCATGCTGGGTATGTTTTAGTGGCTGTTGATGTTATGACTTCAGGGCCTTGTGAATTTATACAGACAATGAATATAATTTATTTCAGAAATTTCTAAAGGCAGCAGCTTTTGGACCTTTTTCTACCATGCTTTTTCCCTCCACAGAACTTTCCATTAATGTGCCTGGATGTAGCTCTGCGTACAGTCAGTTTCTTCACCATCTAAATTTTGTGACTTACTTTGAGGGTGTTAATGTCCCCTTAGCCTTCTTCCCCACAACTGTGTACCTCATAAAATATTTTTTTTGTGACAGACATTATTTTTGATTGCTTCAGTGTTATACTCTGCATTAATGCTAAGCTAAATTTGGGATTTTTAAATTTGGTGTAAACTAGAAACATCAATATCAACAACATTAACGTAGTTTATTCAATGAATCTACACCACGGTGAGTAGTGCTCTGCTTTCTGAGGCAGATGGTGAACTACAACCTCCTAACCTGCGGGGGGCAGCATTGAGCTGTGATGTCTCTACATAACCGGAAATGCTGTGGAGCAAGACGCATGTAAACAAGAGGATGTCGCAGAGACCGACCCAAGCTAGAGGTAGCAAATTATATTTTCAAAGAGTTTTGATATTTTCAGAGGTATTCTTACTTTTTCAAGATATTGTATTTTTTCAGCGGTGTTTGTGTCCTGCATGTTGACAAATGTAGCATTAAAACACCGTTGCTACAGCTAACTAAGCTAACTGAGCTCTCAACACACTGTTTCAAATACATCCTACACTGCGCCAAAACAGCTCGCAGATTTTTGATTTTTAACCGTTTTGCATCTTAAATTTTCAGAAATGAACGGTCAGACAGACGTAGAGGTCGACTACAAGCGGAAGTACAAAAATCTCAAAAGAAAATTAAAATTCCTTGTTTATGTGAGTGACTTTTCCCTTTTTTAATCACAAGTGTTTTCTTCCCAGGACTCGTGCTTTACTTCGTTTTCACTGCTGCTTTTGCTGGTTTACAGGAACAGGAATGTTTTCAGGAGGAGTTGAGAAGAGCACAAAGAAAACTTCTGAAGGTTTCCCGAGACAAAAGGTGAGATTGATTTTGCTTGAACATATCCAGGTGTTTGAAAAATAAAATCGTGGTAAACTGAAGCTCCCCCTGGTTTCCAGCTTCCTTCTAGACAGATTGCTCCAATATGAGAGGGTTGATGAAGACTCCTCTGGTAGGTGGAAAATAAATAAATCTATATTATCTATTTTACTTTCTTACTGAATCATGTTTTCTTACTTCTTTCTCAGATTCAGATGCAACCGTTTCTTCAGAAAACAGTGAAGGGGAAGGACTAAGAGAGAGGGAAAGAGAAATTGCAAAGAAGTAAACTACAAATGTTTATGAGCTGGAAAATGATCCAACTAGACATGTATCTTTAAAAAAAAAGCTTTCAAGGACTTTAATCACTTCGTAAAAACCATTAAATCAAATCCAAATCTGTGTTGTGTTATTAGACCTGTATTTGTCCTTATTCAAGATTTTGCAACTTTCTTGAATTCTTAGAAAAGTGCACTTTGAGTAAAATAGTAATTTATTGTCGTACTATTTATGTTAAGAATGTCTTTCGAAAAAAGAATGCTTTATCTTCTTCGTGTTGTCAGGAAATCAAACTTAGGAGCATGTCGCAGCTTTTCAGATGTGCAGGCATGTTCCATTTCACATATATATTATATCCATCCTTTTTGACACCTTCTCTTTCTTTTTTTTCAGGCGGAAAAGCAGCCCTGGAGCCTGCCTTTCCTCCTCTTCGTCATCGCCTCATCTCTCTCTGCTGTCCCGTCCTGGAGTAAACCCCCTGCAGTCGTCCAGCACCGGATCGTACCTCAACGCTGTGAGTTCTCCATCTCTTCCTCTGCAGCCATTGCCATTTTCTCATCTGCAGGCATAATCCCTGTTTTCATTGAGCATTCTTTTATTCATGCCTGTTTTATTGTTGTCAGTTTTTATTTTATTTTTTAATGCCTTCACCATCTCTGTACTGTTCATTCTCCTGTGTTTGTTCTTTTGTGTTTGGTCTGTGTATGTGTGTGTCGTAAACTCCTCACGAATGTGTGCATGTGGTCATTTGGAAAAATCGGGGTGTGCATGTGTGTGGGGCAGATGCCCTTCCCACCAGAGTATTTGGCACCACCAGCTGAGCGAATGAAGAAAGAGAGAAAAACAAAGACGCCAAAAAACAAGCGAGAGGCCACAGGGAAGGTGAGAGGAGGGGGACTGGAGATATTTACAGAGAGCAGTAGTCATAAAACATATTGCAAATATTTGGTATTTATTAGTTTATTTCAGGTTTTATCTTATTTTACTCATTATAATGCAAAATGGTGTCTTTTCATGCAACAGTTTTTTAAATTAAGACACATAACACATGTTTTGTCTTGTTTTTATTTATACATCTGTGACGTAGCCATCCATTGCCACTCATCTATTATTTAAGAGGTTTTCGTCCCTTCCTGTGCCACGATTTTGAAATCATTTGTACCCTCCTCCTCCTCAGGTTGTTGGTCCGATGGCGGCTAACTACACGTCAGCCTCTGGTGCCCCTCAAACAGCCAGCGGCCCCTTCAGCTGGGTTCCCAAACAAATGCTCAGCGGAGATGCGGCTGACGAGGAAGGTGAGAGCGATGGGGACAGCGACAGAGGAGACGAGGACAGAGGGGAGGGAGACGAGGCCGAGCTCGTCATTGACATCCCCAATGAGTGAAAGCGACTGGGAGATGTATCTAACGGCAGGATGGAGGAGGGGGGGCCTGCTTCTGTTTGTGTAAGGGGTAAAAGAGAGGACTTGAATGGTTGTCCTGAAAGGAAAGCTCCCCTTGGTGGAGATAAGATTCATTGCAGGCAAAATAAAACTGCAGAAATGAGTGTTGTTGAAGTAATAAAACAGTGAAACAGTGATAGTTTCTTAAATTCAGTCTTTGTTGTATAGGTGCACTGATTATGTTTTCCTGACCAGAACAGATTTCTTTTTGCGTCTTAATCTGCCAATTTTCAATGTAAAATATTTTTTCTTCTCCCAATAATTAAATGTGAAAAACATTGACCATTAAAAAAGATGCATTATCTGTTTTTCTGAACAGCAACAGATATTTTGCCCTAAGCAGAGATTTTGCATTTCAACTTCCAAAATAGGATTAACCGGGAAGCTTCTACTCTGTTGTGACATGTTGGTACCTAAAACCTGCACAGCATTAAAGAGCTAACGGTGGTTCTGTGGAAGTATTATGGATAATATTTATTTCCCTTTCCTGTAGTAGTTGTATCTTTGTTGTATCTTTATGAGCTAGAAGACATTATAAATGAATCTTTGGTGGAAGCTAACGGCTCGTCTGAGTCAATCTGAACATTTTTACATCAGTTTGATACAGCCAGCTTTTTTCCCACAACGAAGCAGAAATGTTCAACTTCACAAAATGGCACCAACTTTACATAGTCTGTTGTAAAATTGTAAACTGTTTATAACGGCTAAAACTATTCTTTGCCATTGATATGAACATGTTCAGTTTGAGCTTAGCTGTCATTGCTAGCTAAAATGGGCAGCTTAGATCTGACTAGCTGTTAGCATTAGCTGTTAGCTTCTAGTTCCCCAAAAATGTATTTTTACTTCTAACAAGCTCACAATGATATGACAGCTTTGTTGTAATGAAAGTATTAGTTAACTTCACAGTACCTCATTTTTTTTAATTCTTTTAATTTTTTTTATTTAATTTTATTAGAAATTGAATTCATGTACTTTTTTTTAAAATTAAAATAACCCAAAGACTGATGGTGCCCTGAAGATGTAAATCACCAGACCAGTTGTTATTGTAGATTATAAATGCTCGACTGGTGGAAGAGTTGCATAACTACTGGTCATGTTGGGAGCTTTCTGCACCAAAATGCCCTTTTCCTCCTGCCCAATGCAGGACATTTGACCTGCTGATCATCAGACAGAGCTGTCCAAGGAAAAACTCTGATTTCAATCACTGACTGCTTGATTGGTGCATCGATGTCTATTTAGCCAACTTGATCAATCCTGCGGCTGATTCTATGCTTCCTCTGGATAGCCAGTGAATTCATCCTTATTTGTTCTTCAGATATTTGTTTTTGCTTTGCTTAAATCAGCCACCATCTCAGAGTTCATCGTTTGTAACCTTAGAGTTATAAATGTCTATTTGTTACAGTTCTGGTATGTTTAATCTGTGCCAGGTATCAGTTATTGTCTTTAAGAATGTCAAAATAACCTTTTTTAAATACATAAACACTTCGTTTTTGCACTTGTACATTTGTGTGTCGACATTTTTCAATTTTAGCTCACTAAACATTTTGTTTTCAACTAAAATATTCCCAGCTTTGCTATTCGAATAGCACAGAAGCAACCCTAGAGAAACTTCTGACCTTGTTGCAACATTCGTCTGAAAGCGTTGCACATATCTCACTCGATGGCTTGATGCCCCACCCTGAACATCACACCCAGAAATGTCGTTCCAGGTTTGTGTTCTTTAAAGTTAGCATGTCAGCATGCTCTTTTTTTCTGCAAAGGCACCTCAATCCATGTTTTGAGCAATATCTACTCCTTGCTTGACCTCTGCAGAGGACCTCTGACACCACTCTGCAGAACCTCATGGGTGCCTTTTGGCTCCATTTACCCATAACTCTTGAGCAATGTGAAGGCATTCTGGCTGAGCTCCACCTCGTGGTGTTGTCTGAAATGCTTGACATGTTTTCCTTCACTCTTACTCTTTCTCTGTGAAGATTATGTGTTTACGCCGCCTTTGCCTCATAATGATTTTGTAAGAATCCATCCGTGCCAGAATCGTGCCTCAGCAGGAATGTTGCAGATATTGGGGAAAGTCGGCTTTAATCTGCAGGGCATGGAAGTGGGCGTGAGTTCAGGGCGAACTTGTTGCTGTCGGGATTATAGTTTAATGAGGATTTCATCAGCAGACTCTGAAAATTATAGAGCTCATTTGCTCTTTTTTTCTTTTCTTTTTTTACTGAGTAAGGACTCTCAAGAATAGTAGAGTTTAAAGCCTTGCTGGCTGTGCTCAAACCGATTTTTGGGAATGCAGACTTACAGGTAATCAGTAGGTGTTGGCTCAGGCTGTGTGCAATACAGCAGTGAACGGTAAAGGTGTAGCTGCGGAGGGAGTGGTGAAGTGCAGAAACAGCCGGAGGGAGAGTCAGAGGGTGGAACTGACAGAGGGGGGCGAGGCTGTCAGGGGGGACAGGGAAATGAAGGAGTAAGCAAGATTGCTCCTGCAACCACTGATTCGTCCTGTCTGAGCTCGGCTGGCAGGGGAGGAAGGCAGGGATGGCTGCAGATAAACCGGAGGACGGAGCGAGGAGTCAGTGAGTGGGGGGGAGAGCAAGAAGCCCATCAGCAGCCATTATTTATCTTCTCCATCTACACAAGGAAACCACTGGATAATTTATAAGCCTCTCCCTTCTCACTGAGTGTGAGAGAGGGAAGATAAGCTGATCTCACCACCATGCTGCTGAGTGCTGCTGCTGCGGTGTGGCTGCTGGCGCTGCTGGGCCCGGGCCTGTCTCTTCCAGCTGAGCATGACTCGGAGCCAGGCTTCGCCCTCTGTGACGGCTGCTTCTACAGACAGACGCCTCCCCGGGGAGCCGCAGCTGAGCCGCCGCTGCACCGACACTGCCACAGACTGCCGGGGGGACGGGCGTTCACCACTCTGTCCAGGCCGGCCTGTGACACGGCTGTCTGCTCGGCCTTCCATCTCAGCCACGGATGGACGGGGAGGGAGGAGCTGCAGGAGGGGGAGGCTGTGGTAAGGATACATTTGTCATAATATAGTTTTGAAAACATGAAATGAAACCAGAAAACGGTGTTATTTAAAAGACTAATCCCTCCTCGTTTGATTCATAAATAGCTTCTAGGCACCGCACTTCAAAAGCATTCTGTAAAGTGTCTGTTTCTCTTTTTCAAGTTTTTCTTTGGACTCGGATATTGCTTCCAAAGATGTTTTGTCAACCACAAACTTCAGTGTATCAAATTAATGTTTTGTGTGGTAGACCAAGACAGAGTAATGCCTAATTCAGCTAAGTCCTGGGAAACCGGCTGCCTTCAAGCTCACCCAGGTGTAATAAATCCAGCTGTTCCTTGAAGGCCTCAGCATCATAAAGACCTGCAGACAGGTCAGGAATTAAGACGCGACACCTGATCTCACTGAGGAGAGCAGAGCACTCACCAGTGAAGCACAGAGGATGGTAACTCTGGAGGAGCTGCACAGATCCAGAGCTCAGCTGAGTGAACCAGCTGACTGGATCAGCTGCGTCCTCCAGCAATCTGGACTTCATGGAAGAGTTGACAGAAACAGTTAATCAGATTGATTGCGACGAATCAATTATTGAAATAATCATCAACTAATTTAGGAATCAATTAATCGCTACTTGGAGTCTGCACACTCAAAAAAGGTCATATTGTGGAAAAAAACAAGGTATTCAGATCAGTATTTAAGCCAAAACTGTACAAAATATTTTACATTTAGATAAAAACACCTCCTGGAGAGCTAAGGTTTCAATATTATTTATTGAAAAATAGTATTGAAAAATATTAAAAAGAGGCATGTTTATCAGATTTATAACCCAAAAATCTTAGTTGTTGTTTAGCCTTTGAAATCCTAAGAGCCATATTTGCCCTCAGTCCAGCTAAATAAGACTTATTTAGATCAATAAATGTTACATAACCATTAAAAAGACAACTTAGCATTTTTGGTAAATATCTACTTATTATCATTGTTAAAGAACCCAATATCAAATCATTGTTAAAGAACCCAATATCAAATCTGTTTTTAGATTTTACAATAAGGAAAAACATATAAATTTTGCTGTTTCTTCTGTGGAATGACACAAAAAAAAAGATGTAAAACAATGTCACTCGTATATTTAGTGTCATTCTGTCATGGAAAATCTATTTATTGCATAAAAAACAACGCCTCCAACCACAATTTGTTATTGAATTTATATTTAAAACATTAGTTGATCCTTTATCATTTGAAGTCAGGGTTACTCAGAGCCACTGAGGAAGGAGCTGAAGAAGCTAAATATCATTTTCAGCATAGGAATAATCATTTAGGTCAGTTCATTAACACAACAGTCTGCAAAGTTGAGAAAAGAGTCAGAAATTGATAATTAAGTGTCTTTTATCAGATTTCTAATTCAACTAGTCACCAGGATGTTCATTTACAAATCTCAATAGTAATGCATGTTGCTGTTAATTTCTAACCTGTATTTTATTGGCAGGTGATATTTTCAGTCCCAGTGCAGGCAGCTGGCAGAGGCATGACTCAGGTTTTAGAAATGCATTATGGAGATATTCATGAGAAGATGAAGAGGGTGTGGAGGGAGAAAAGTTGACCTTGCAGACTTTTACATGCCTGAAAAGTGAAATATTAACAGACGTATTGAATTCAAATAGTACACGATGCTGGTTGGAGCTTTTGCAACAACAAAAAAAGTTTGATTTACTGTGAAAGGAATAATTAACTTGATTCTTTTTTTCCCCTGGCAGACAGAGGAAGAACATGATGTCAAAGTCGCCGTTCCAGCTCTTCTTGGAGGAGCAACAAAGGATCCGTCTGACTCTCCGCTTCAACAGTGGGACTCGACAGTGGCGGCGCTGATCCAGTCCAGCGTCATTCCCAAGTGCGCCGCTTTAGGAGGGGGTGTCTACGTTCTGACAGGAGCAGGACGTCTCGGGGCACCGGAGGATGGAGACGAAGTGTGTCAGGCCAAGCCGCTGTGGACGGCAGCGTGCTGCACTCCTCCAGAGGGGAAGGGCGGCTTCAGCGTGGGGTTAATCAAAGAGACAGAAGAGGCAGAGAGGCAAGTGAGCATGAAGGAGCTGGAGGAGATGTTAGGGGTGGAGGAGCTGTTCTCTGAAGGCTGTGGGGGAGAAGACGGGCAGACAGCTGCAGCCGCAGAGGGGCTTCACACCGACGCGCTTCATGCAAATGCCGCACAATCAGATGTGAATTCAGAAACTGTTGACCCACATGCAAAGGCAGACAGAGAGCAGGGCAGCAAAGAGTCAATGCTGGAGGAAAGGGCTGGTGTTGATGCTAAATCGGAGGATTCTGACCTTTCGGAGGAAACTGAAGCAGAATCTGTAGTTTCTGTGAGCAGCAGGGTGCAGCAGTACAGCGAATCTGTTCCTGAAGACGACTCAAACTCCACCAGCACTCTGCTCTTCATCCTGTCCACCACCCTGTCCATCCTGAAAGCTCCTCTCCGCCCCGTGTTCTCCACCATCACAGAGTTTCCTGCTCAGGTGAAAAGCATTAGATCCTGCCTTTTATTTCTGTTTTCAAGCCACAGGGGGTTTCTGTCATTAGATAAAACTCTCTAAGCTTATTGGCACCGCTAGTAAAGATGTGGTAAAAGTCTTAAACATGCAGGTTTTTGGTGAAATGTACGACAGAGTATTAGTTAACACATCTGGTATGGTTGCATGGTTTCATTCCTCTAACATCCCTTTCTTCTTCAGGTGACTCATGTTCTCCAGGAAGATGTGGGAGTCTTGTCGGCGCTGCCTGGCGACACCCTCACGCTGTTCCACCTCCTCACCTCTGACCTCCTCTCCTGGATGGGATCAGCTGGAGAAATGCTGCTCGGTGTTGGGGAGACCTGCTTCTCCAGTGTTTACTACTGTTCTTCGTCAATGGCAGAGGCCCTGCTGAGCAGCTGCCACACCGGCCTGACGGGCATGGGGACCCTGGCTGGAGACACAGCGGGGATTTTTGGTGGCGTTCTGGATAATAGCTGGTGGCTGACAAAGTTCTTTGGAGGGAGGCTGTGGGAGCAGACTGAAGGCTACGTGGGTACCGTAGTGTCGGAGATGGGGGGTCAAGCTCAGGCTGTGGGCGGAGGACTGGGCAGGCTGGCCTGGAGAGGCGGGAGCGGAGTGGGCAGCGTGTTCACGATGGGAGGAAACTTCATAATGGGGATGATAGATGTGGTTTTTGGCGCAGCAAGAGAGGCGTTTGGGAAGGAGTCAGAGTAAAAGGGTGAAAGGTTTAGACAAAGCCATAAATAAAGTGTCTTTATTCAGTTTTGGTTTGGATTTTACTTATGCACCCGGGAAGCTGAAAAATTAAAACTTGATGTCATTTGATATGCCTTAGAAGAGTTTTCAGGTTTTGTTTTAATGTAATAAAGTTGAAATGCTGCACAATGTGCTACAGATCACTGTGGAAAGCTGGCTGTCCAAATAATCTGCTGCATCTGAGAGGTCTGATTTACAAAAACACACACTGTGCTT